TATTATTTTGACGTCTAGTCATATCTCCACTGCACTCTACTTCATAGCCACTTTTCTCTCATCCCTCTATTGTGGATAGAGGTAAACCACAGGAGGATTATTTCCTGTGTAGATTCCACAATGGTATCTTGGGCTCCCACTGTCATCCAGATTCTCACAATTTAGGTTCTGATACTATTTCCTTGTCCCGCTTCAGAGTATGTGATTTACAATCCTTGGGTCACTGATGTTGGTGTGCTTCTTCCACGTGGATTTAGTTGACGCCTCACTTAGATGAATGCTTGTTTGAAAACAAGCCTTGAAGGCCCCAGATGCTATTTAATTTGACAGCCGGGCACCATCTAATTTCTTCACCACACTTTTTTCCCCACCACACTTTTCTATAGCACTCATACCTTCTGTGTTCCCTTCCTGAAGGTGAGCATTGAGCAGGGCCATGAAGTAAGAATTGTTCTAAATTGGAGCTAGGGAGGGTGGGGAAGATGGGGGGAAATGAGCTGATACCAAGGGCTCAAGTAGAAAGAAAATGTTTTGAAAACGATGATGGCAACAAATGTACAAATGTGCTTGACATATGGGTGTATGTATGGATTGTGATAAGAGCTGTAAGAGACCCCAATAAAATGATTTCTAAAAATAAATAAATATAATAAAGACTTCATAGCAATTTTCATTACAAAAAAAAAAATTGGAGCTAGGATTTAGTGAGAGCCCAAAACCCATTCCCAGATCTATGTTTGTTTGCCTTTGGCTCCCTTTCAAAACCTCCTTGTTGATTTATGGTAGAGAGTCTATCAGATCATCCCCCAGGGGCATAAAGATCTTCCGTTAATATTGTCTTTTATTAGACCCTGGCACTAATTTTTCAAAGCACTGTTGAGAGAAGGATATTGGGCCAATGTAGGCTAACTCCATATCACAGTATCTGAATTATTCACTTGCACAGAATCAGTCTAACAACACTATTGGTTCTTGCTCATTTGCTACCTGCAAGGGGTGGAATGTGGACTAGTTCTTTTTGGTACACTGACTCTATTCCTGCCATCTTCTTTTGATGTTTCTTGCATCATTCAATATTTTGCACATAGAATCTTCCAATATTGCAGCTTGCAACTTGAATTATTTTTCTTGAGTTCAGTTTAAGATATGCTGAGCGTTCTTCCCTTTCGTTTTTTTAACTCTAGGTTTTTGCACATTTCATTATAGTATTTGGCTTTGTCTCCTCAAGCAGCCCTTTGAAATGTTCTATTCAGCTCTTTGACTTCACCATTTCTCCCATTTGCTTTAGCTACTCTGTGATCAAAATCAAGTTTCCGGTGTCTTATGACATCTATTTGATCTTCTCTTTCTTGCCTGTCTTTTTAATGACCTCTTGTTTTCTTCATGAATGATTGGTCTTGATGTCGTCCGACAGCTTATCACGTTTTCAGTCATTAGTGTTCTCTGTGTCGAATCTGTTCTTAAATTTAAGTGGGACAGGCTCAAGGTCATATTTTGGCTCCTGTGGATTTGTTTTAATTTTCTTCGGCTTTATCCTGAATTTACATATGAACAACTGTCTGTTCCACAGTTGGCCCCTGGCCTGGTTTTAGCTGCTGACATTGAGCTTCTCCATGGTCTCTTCGCACAGAGGTAGTTAATTTGATGTCTCTGGATTCCATCTGGAGACGTCCATGTGAATAGTCACCTTTGTGTTACTAAAAAAAGGTATTTGCTGTGAGCAAGTCCTTGATTTTGTAAAATTCTATCTCGAGCCTTGTTTCCATCATCAAGAGCATTTTTTCCAATTACTGTTCCTTCCTCTTTGTTTTCAACCTTCCCATTCCAATCACCAATAATTACCAATGCATCTTGATTGCATGTTTGATCAATTTCAGACAGAAGTCGTTGGTAGAATTAATTGATTTCTTCATCACTATCTTTTGTGGTTGGAGCATAAATCTGAATAACAGTTGTATTGATGAGATTTCCTTGAAGATGGATATAATCCTCTCACAGACATCATTGCACTTCTTGATGGATTTCGCAATGTGCTTTTTGACAATAAATGCCACACGATTCCTCTTGATCAGGGGTCCTTACATTTTTAAAATTTTTGGTCCTTAAACTTTTTAAACAGGGGGCCAGTTCACTGTCCCTCAGACCCGTTGGAGGGCTAGACTATAGTTTAAAACAAAACTATGGACAAATTCCTATGCACACTGCACATATCTTATTTTAAAGTAAAAAAGCAAAATGGGCAAAAACATCCATCGGGCCAGATAAATGTCCTCGGTGGGCCACATGTGGCCCGCGGGCCGTAGTTTGAGGACCCCTGCTCCTGATGGTGTTATTCCTGGCATAGTAAATCATGATTCTTAAAATTCAAAATGGCCAATACCAGTTAATTTCCAGCTCACTAATGCCTAGGATATTGATCTTTCTGCATTCCATTTCATTTTTGACCACTTCCAATTTTGCTAGATTCATACTGTGGAAATTCCGAGTTCCAATCATTAGCAGGATTTTGCAGCTGTTTCTCCTGACCCAGAGTCGTGCTCCTCAGCAAATGAAGACCTGGAAGGCTCAACTCCCACAGGCTTTAGCAGACTCACATCACCCAAGTGGGCAGGCAAGTCCTTCTTCATGAAATCTGTTCACCTAGGGTGACCCTGCTGGCATTTGAAATACCAGTGGCATAGCTTCCAGCACCACAGCAACACATAAGCCACCACGGTATGACAAACAAGTGTTGCCTATTTTGTGGTAATATGCAATTATCCTCCTTTTTATTTGTTGCGAATCTTAGCCTTATATGTTAAGGAGGCATTATTAGTGTTGGGTGTATCTGAGGTCACAACCGTACCAGAGAGCATGACTCAAGTCACAACCTTAGTCAAGTCATACCCTTACCTTACCCCGATGTATAAGAAGTTTCCTTTAAAGGGTGACATGCTTCCCATATATAGGGATGCTCTGGCAAGACTCTCCTTTGCTTTGGATTTGGATTCAGTACCTCGCTCATCATGAACTGACCTCGTTCTTGAAGTTGCTAACAACCCACCATCGGACCTACCAATTCTACAATTCATCAACAACTTATGCAGCCCTGTGAGCCAGTAGCCTGCCGTCAGACCTGCCAGTTGTTGGGACTGGCCAGCTTCTGAAGCCCTGGGAGCCAATACCCTATTGTCTGTCCTACTGACTGTGGGCTTTTCAGCTTCTGCCACCACGTGTTTCAGAAGCCTCCAGCTTAACATCTGACACACAGATGACTTGATAGCCTTCACAACCAGGTGATCCAGTTCCTTAAGATGTCCTTCTCTCTGTGTATCTGTAGTGTGATAGGCTGGGCTGTCCAGGGAAACAAAACCAGTGGCAGGCATATATGTGTAAGAAAGAACTTAATATCAGGAAGCAGCTTTATGCCAAGAAGGCATCTCGGTCCGGTTCAATTCCAGTCCATGGGCCTGAGTCTAGCTGGAACCCTCTTTAGACTCCTGTAACAGCAGGCAGATGACAAAGAGCAGTGAAATGGGGAGCAGGGAGCGCACCGTCTGGTGGTTACAGAGTCATGTGGATTCAAAGTAGGTGGGAGCATGGCAGGGCTCCAACAGTTCCCAGAGTCAGCTGTCAGCGGCCCACATGAGACTACACCTGGAGGCAGACACAGAATCCAAGCAAGAAGCATGGGGAGGGCAAGGGAGAGGGGTTCCCAGTATGTCTCTTGTAAAAGGCCACATTCCCAAGGAAGCTGGTTGATAGGTTGGAAGCCATTCCTACTTTCAAAGAGGCTCAAGATGACAAAATCTAACCATCACATATATCTAGATATAATATGTGCATATATGTGTATACTGGCTTCTCTAAAAAAACCATCCTAAGATAATAGTGTTCATCCTTTATTTTCTCTGTGCGCGAGTATAAACATAGAAACAAAAAATAAAGCGAGGACCTAATGTCCGGGGTTTAAGTGGAGAGAAAATGTTTTGAGAGTGATGTTCAAATGCGCTGTACACAATCGATGTGTGTAGGGATTGCGATAACAGTTGTATGAGCCCCTAATAAAATGTTAATAAATAAATAAATAAAATAAAGCAGGGCAATTATAAGCATTCAAGTTCATGAGAAAATGGAATTAAAAGATAATGAATTGGGGAGGGAGGGGATAAAGGGGAACTGATATCAAAGATTTCAAGATGAAAGAAAATGCCTGGAAACTGATTGTGGTAGCAACTGCACAATTATGCTTGATCTAATTGAACCATGGAATGTTATAATATCTGTAAGAGCTCCCAATGAAATGATTAAAAAGAAGCGAGAGAAACAAACGAACAAAAAGATGAATTTTGTTCCATGAACTGTTTTGAAGTCCTCTCATGTTTGTGTTTCTACACTTAACATCTCAGGAAATGTGTTTACAAGTTAATCATCTTTATATCTTTTTTAAGCTGTCCCTCCACCCCATCCCCCACCCCATTTAATTATCCAGTTCATGCTGTCACATTGGTTATGTGTGATGATTTTACAATTTGGTCACTCAAAACTTCTGATAGCTTTTGAGTGGCTATGAGTTCTCTCCTCTGTCTTTTCCACCAGGGGCCCTGGGCGCAGGTGCCGTGGGTTAAATGTCGGGCTGCTACCTCACCAGCCATTGCGTGGGAGACGGATGAGATTGTGTCTGTTCCCTTAGTCTTGGAAACTACACTTTTGCTCTATCTTGTGGAGTGTGGCTCAGTGAGCATTTACTTGATAGCAGTGGGTTTGGTTCGGGTTCCCGTTTGTCACCATTCCTCCTTCCTGTGAGGCGGAGCCAGGACACGCTCCAATGAAGGAGAAAGTGAATTCAGACTTGTCTGTAGGCTTGGGTTGAGCGGTTATCTCAGTTTTTTGGTGGTGCTGTTCTCAAGAATACCACACATATGTGGCTCTACGGAACTGAGATGTCTTGTCCTCCAGTTTCAAAGGCTAGATGCCTGAGGAAAGGACCCTGGCGGTTGTCCACTTTGGGGGACTCCATCATGGAGGTAAAAGCTCGCACATGACCGGTAGTCCAGTGTTCCGGGAACTGGGCTTGGGGCTTCGAAGAGCTTACTGTGTGACCTTGGGTAGGTCACAGGCTCTCCGCTCTCGTGTTCAGAAAACGGTCGGTATCGCAATTATGACTCATTCAGTAGCCTTCATCTTCGCCTGGCCTCGTCGGGACGGCTCCGCGATAATTTTGAAAGAATGGATGGGCCAGGCTAACGGCTTGACAAACCATAACGAGCCCAAGGTCACAGGGCAGGTAAACTGGAAAGAACCCAATCTCCTTTCTTCACGGCAAAGCCCCGCTCCACTTCTTCACTCCGGACTCATTTCCCATCCTGCGCATTTTCCCACGGCGGAAGGATCCTCCCGGGAAACGGCTGGAAGCAACTCTGACCAGAATCCTGGTGGAGCCACAAGCGCTTTCAGGGCAGCAAACAGGCCTGCTTTGGTCACTCCGAGAAGGGCGACCCGCCGGCTCTCGACACCCCACACTCGGGAAGTCCGGCGGTTCTTCTCCTCCGTTGAGCACCTTCCCGCCTCAGGTTGGTCCCCGGGATTCTAACGGAGTTGCCCTTCGGGGGCGGAGCCAGGCCGAGGCGATGCACGATTGGCCAGGCTTAGTCGGGGGCGGGGCTTTCCGAGTGCAGGGGGCGGGTTCAGCAGTCGGCGACGTCCCATTGGCCGCGTGGGTTCGGGGGCGGGCCCGGGGCGGGCCGCCGGCGGGCGCCGACTATGAGCCTCCATAAAAGGAAGCGGCGGGGGGCTGGGGCCCCGGATTGAGCCCTCCCTGCGCGGGGTCTCGGCGCGCCGCGCTCTCTGCAAGGCCTGGACGTGCTCTCCCCTGG